AACTAAACTCCTTCTTCCAGGAGAAACTAGGTGGGCAGAGTGGGCTCCTATGGTTTTAGAGAAAGTCTTGAGATAGAAAAACAGAGAAAGGCAGGGGTCCATGTGAGGTGAGACTGTCCATCACGGGGGCAGCTGTGGCATGGAGGATGTAATGCTGTGAAGACACATTTCTCTCACTTGCAACACTGAGTTCTGACTAATAGTTTAGGATGAGTTGAGAGACTTGAACTTCACACTTTTAGTATTGGAACTGCACACTTCCGGAACTCAGCTTCTTCCTCTGTTAAATGAAGGAGGTGGACCACACAAGTTTTGAGGAGCCCTCTAGTGATTCTGTGACTTGAACCCACCTTTATACTTACCATGATCATACTATGAGTTTCAGCATCAACCACCTTGAAATCCACTCCTTCCCCTTTTTAAATGGTAGGCCACCCAGGTGGTAAGGGGGAGACTAGAATTTTTACATGGTTAGACAATTCTCATTCCACTTGAAAGCACAGACCTCAAGTTACATTTTCCTCTTTATTTAAACCATTCATTTAATAAAATTTTACTGCCTGCCCACCATGTGTCAGGCACCATGTTAGACTCTGGTATACAGAAGGAAATAAAATGACAAAGTCTCTGTCCTTTTGGAGTTTACATTCTAGTAGAGAGGGACATATAGGATGAAGGTTAGTTGTTGCCGGGGTCTTTCCTGATGACCTTCATTGGTGCAGTAGATGTCCTCATGTCAAATTCTGCAACTTTTCTCTCTTCACAGAAGACCTTTCCCCAATCCTCTCTCCTTTGACTCTTCTATTTCTAGCTGGGGTCTTGTGAGGCAGGTTGTATTTTCCAAAGATGGTTGTAAAAGATTTCTCCCTCCACATGCTTGCCTTTTAATGTGATGTCAATACTCCTCTCACTCTCTCATTGAGAGCTGGGGACTGTGCTCTCTCCCTCTGAATGGGTGGGCTTGTGACACTGGGAAAAATGATGTTTTTTGACTTCTGTGGCTAAGGCATAAAAGGTGATGAAGCCAGTCAGGACCCTGACAGATTTTTGCACACCCCTGTTCTCACTAACCTCCAGTACTCTAGCCTGGAAAATCCCATGGATGGAGGAACCTGGTAGGCTGCAGTCCATGGGGTCGCTAAGAGTCGGACATGACTGAGCAACTTCACTTTCATTTTTCACTTTCATGCATTGGAGAAGGAAATGGCAACCCACTCCAGTGTTCTTGCCTGGAGAATCCCAGGGATGGGGGAGCCTGGTGGGCTGCCCTCTATGGGGTTGCACAGAGTTGGACACGACTGAAGTGACTTAGCAGTAGCAGTTCTCACTAGCATTCTTCCCAATATCCAAGAGGTGGGACCAATCCAAGTGTCCATCAACTAAGGAATGGATAAATAAAATGTGGTACTTTTATAAAATGGAATATTATTCAGTCTTAAAAAGGAAGGACTTACAAGAAGTACCTAGAATAATCAAATTCATAGAATAGAAAGTAGGATTATGGTTGTCAAGGGCTGCAGGGAGAAGAAAATCATGAATTCTTTAATGAGTGTCGAGTTTCACGTATGCAAGATGAAAATGTTCTGGAGATGGTTTGTACAACAATGTGAATATACTAAACACTACAGAACTGTATTCTCAAAAATAGTTAAGGTGAAAAATTTTAATTTTTTTTTTAGCATAATTAAGAATAAAAGGTGATACAGAGCTTCTGCCTTGCTTGCTGGAAAACTTTCACTAGAGTCCTGAGCCACCATGAAAGTTGTACAAATACCCTGAAGCTATCATTCTGTGAGGAAACCCAAACTTGTGTACAAAGAGGTACCACATGAACAAACTTGATACCACATGAACCAAGATAGATGGCCAGCCCAGCTACTTCACCTACCCATCTCACTACAATCTCATGAGAAAGGCTGAATCAGATTTGCCTAGTCAGGCTTCCTCCAAATTCCTGACCCAAAGGAAACTTGAAAAAAAATTGTTCCTTTAAGTTACTAGATTTTGGTATAATTTGTTATGCAGCAATGGCTAACTAGACTCCTTGTCTCAATCTCTCAATCTGACCACAGGCAGAAAGGGATTAAGTAGCTCTAGCCCATCACTGTGCAATGGCTGATGGCCTGGCATGTAGATTCAAAGCCCCTGGGAGCGAGAGCCCTGTATTCATCACTGCCGCAGTTATAGCATCACCCCATAGCACTGTGCTTGGCATATTTCATCTCACAGATATTCACAAAGTACCTACTCTAGGCTAGGGACTGTGCTAGAACTAAATGTCTAAAGTATGCTCTTTGCTCATAAGGAGTGTAAGAGGAGACAAACATTCAACTAATAAATTGTGGTAAGTTCGATGAAGGAAAATAACCAGGTACATTTAGGAAGAATTAACCGAGGGACATCATTTAGATTGGAGGACTGTCAGGGCAGGGGTCTCTGAGACTGGAAGGGTGAGAAGGCATCAGAACATGGGTAAGAGCAACTCAGGCACAGAAGAGAGCCCTTGTGAAAGCCTGGAAGCTCCAAAGAACTTGCTATTGATAATATACTCAGTAATGTGTGTGTGCCTGCCTCAGCTTGCTCAATGGCATAGGTGTGGTCCAGGTCTGCTTCACCAGTCTCTCAGCCTATCTGAACTAGTGCCCGTGGCAGGCCGTCCTCCTGCTGCCTGGCAGAAGCCCCATTGTGCAAACATATTACAAGCTTCTGCTCATGCACCTGCTAGCATCCCATTGGACAAAGCAGGTCAAATGACCAAGACTAAACACTGGGATAGAGAAATACACTCCTCCCATGGGGCTGAGAGGAAGGGGTACACACACTTTTGCAAACAATCCTAAATGTCTGTCAAATGCCCTGTATTTCATATTATGACTGTGGCCTGGGCTCCCTCCTTTTATCTGTGCTAGCACCTTTGTAGATGGTACTGGCACCAACTAGACTGTTCTTGACACTTTCAGCTGTGATATTGGCTCTCGTCTGGTCCCCCCAAACATCCACGTCCATCAGTCATCCCATGCCAGTGCCCTGTTTGATTCTCCATCCTCATCAATCTGCCCCATTCTGCAGCACTTAACTGCCCATGCCAGCTGTATCCGGCTATGACAAGGAAATCTGATAAAAATGTAGGATGCTGGCAAAAATCATTTCAAGGAGAAAAATTAAAGTAAAATTGCCCAGGCTGATTAAAATGCTGATGAAGAACTGAATTGGAACAGTATAATAAAGCTCACTTATCTTATAGAGATGTCATGAAAACTAGCTAGTTGGTATTCATGGTCTGAATACCAAAGAAAAATTGTTATTGATTTACATATAATGTCTCTGTTGCGTCTTCCAAAAGCCTCCTCAACTAATATATAACAGGGAATGGCAAAACCAAATTTTGAGATTAGGATTCATCCACCTTAGTTTTATTTTATATTTGCCAATTGAAAAATAACATCAGTGGTGGCAAAGATAACAACCCTCCTCCTGACAATGGGAAGGCAAGAAGCAGAGAGAGCTGGCTTCGGACCAAGACATTTTAAAGAATTCCAGGATATATCATAAAACACCATTGCGTTCATAAAGTATGGTTCATTAGGTTTTTGATGGAGCGCTTCAAGGGGCATCTGTTTTCCCTTCTCTTTTCCGCTTTCCTCCCTCCCCGAGTCCATCACTGTTAAGAGACCATTTCAGGGTAAATTATGGCCTGTTCTCCTGCCTGATTATTCCGAGCCTATTTGGCTGGGCTGCCATCTTCCGCCTGCCACCCGGCATTGCTCCATCCCTCAGCTTCTTAGCCCTGACCTCTGAGAGCACAAGGACAGAGACAAGGGGAGGGACTCAAGCCAATTTATTGTGCCTCTCAGTGGTGATGCTGGTAAGAGATTTTCGGGAAAGGAGACTAGAGTTCCAGCCTTCTTAGCAGAGGCGGGAGAGGGAGGCCAAGCCTGCAGCTGCCGGTCAGCACTACCGCATATTTAGGGGCAAAACCTCTTTGCCCTCAAGCCTGCCTTTGCGATGTTGCTGAGCAAGGCTTTCCAGTGTGTTTGGGATTTTTTTCAGAGTTGAATGATATTATGTTGTAATGATAATGGTCATAATTAGAAGAGGACACGTTCAGTGGGTGCTAGGCACTGTTCAGAGTTCTTTGGTGAATGTTCTCATTTAATTTCCACAAAGACTCTAGAGGTGGGAACTGTGCTTATTTTACAGATCAGTAACGAACTTGCCTGGGCTTCCCTGGTGGCTTAGGGGTAAAGAATCTGCCAGCAATGCAGGAGATACAAGTTCAATCCCTGGGATGGGAAGATTTCCTGGAGAAGGAAATGGCAACCCACTCCAGTAATTTTGCTCGGAAATCCCATGGACAGAGGAGCCTGGTAGGCTACAGTCCAAGGAGTCAAGAAAGAGCCAGACACAACTGAGCAACTAAACAATAACCACAACAGTTGAACTTGCCCAGGGTTATGGTGCAGAGCAGCAGCAGACACTGGAGAGATGAGCCACCTGTTCTCCAACCCTCTTGGGGCTGCATTGCCAACCCCTTCTTTCCCTGGAGCACAGAAGCTCGTGTGCTTGTTCTGATCACCCTTTCCCACCTCCGTGGAGGGACTCAGTCCCTGCCAGCCCCTGCCCACCTGCTTGCTTTTGTGATTTCCGTGTGTGCATCACGGCAGCTGCCTCCACAGCAGAGCCTTGGCTCAGCCCCTCTGCAGTAAGACAGCACACTGGTAGGTCACACTGGGTTCGGATCCAGACTGTCTGGGCTGTAGTCTTGCTCCTAGTGCTTCTGTCCTCCGCGGCCTTGGAAAGTCACTCAGGTTCTCTGTGCCTCAGTTTCCTGAAGTTAATAATCAGCCTCCTGTCTAAACGTGCTAAGAAGGTCAAATGAGATAACGCGCTTGGAGCAGCGTCAGATCCTTGGTAAATGCTCAATAAGTACTAGCTATTATTACTTCCTATTGTGTACTTGCCACAGTCCTGGGACTTAAGGGGCATGAAAAAGTCTGGAATCAAAGAAATTTGGGGGTCTCCAGCAACCTTATGTTTTTCTGGGCTGCTCTAACCATTAATCCTGTTTCAGGCACATTATATTTAGGCTACAGTGTACACTAATTTGGGACCCTCTTCACTGTTTATAACATATAATGTGTTCTGAGTTTCAGAGACTTTTTGGAAAGCCCAGTTACTGAGGTGAGCTGAGTAGTCTGGGGACTGAATAAGAGAGGCGCCCATTTCTCCCACCTAATGATGAGACTAGCAAGGCTCCTACAGACCCTGAGAGTGGGGCCTTCTCAGCCCACTGGAGATGTCAAACTGGTGGCACCACGTGAGGTTAAGGAGCAGGAAGAAAGGGAAAGCATTTGCTGAGTAGGAACCACCCAACCGTGCTTCATTAGTTTGTTTGGCTGCATTTGAAAAGCTGCATTCTGCCTGGGTTACAGAAAGGATAAACCTTGATTCCTATCCATTTTGAATATTGGTTAGACTCAGCAGTGTTGTTGTTCACTGGGTGAACACTCAGAGTGAAGTGAGAAGTGAACACTCACTGGAAGTCAAGAGTAAGATTTTTGGAATTAGGGAACCCTGGGTGAAAGACCAGGCTCTGCCACTCTATTAGCCTTGTGATGGAAAAGCCTTCATTTCCCCTTTTGTAAAATGGAGGTAAGAGTGGTACTTATCTCACAGGTTGTTCAAGTGAGATACAGGTGTAAGTTGCTTTCAGCACAGTGCCTGGCATGCAGGGAGTTTGTAAACCATGACAGCTATTATTACATCATTTTTTTGGGTAAAGTTGCAAGGTCTTTGCTGATAGGACTTCTGGGAGAGGGGAAGCCAGGAAAGGGATGATGAAGGACAAGAAAGATATCCCTGCCGGCCACCTGCCCATGACTGTGGTTCATGTGATCAGTGACGTGAAGCTACTGCAATGAAGTAAGTGACTGCAGATGGACAGGGGTTTTTCCACTGCAGCCAAGTGGGTTTCTTTAATTTTTTTTAAGATTTTTTTTTTTTTTTTTACATGGACCGTTTTTAAAGTCTTTATTGAGTTTGTTACAATATTGCTGCTATTGTATGTTTTGGTTTTTTGACCTGGAGGCATGCCTGATCTTTCTTAGCTCTCTGACCAGGAATCAAACCCACACCCTCTGCACCCCCTGTGTTGGAAGGATAAATCTTTTTTTTTTTTAAACTTTTTATTTTGTGATGGGCTATGGCTGATTAACAAGGTTTTGGTAGTTTCAGGTGAAAAGTGAAGGGACTCAGCCATACATATACATGTATCTATTCTCCACCAAACCACCCTTCCCATCCAGGCTGGCACATAACATTGAGTAGAGTTTCATGTGCTACACAATAGGTCTTTGTTGGTTATCCATTTTAAATATAGCAGTGTGTACATGACCTTCCCAAAGTCCCTAACTACTCATTCTCCCCCAGAAACCATAAGATCATTTTCTAAGTCTGTGTGTCTCTTTCTGTTTTGTAAGTTCATTTGCATCATTTCTTTTTAGATTCCATATATAGGTAAGTGTTAGTCCCCTAGTCGTGACCCCATGGACTGCAGCCCACCAGGCTCTACTGTCTATGAGATTTTCCAGGCAAGGATACTGGAGTGGGTTGCCATTTCCTTCTCCAGGGGATCTTCCCGACCCAGGGATTGAACCTGGGTCTCCTGTGCTGCAGGCAGATTCTTTCTGACTGAGCTACAAGGGAAGCCAATTCCACATATAAGGTATGTCTTATGATATTTCTCCTTCTCTGTCTGATTTAGTTCACTCAGTGTGATACTCTCTAGGCCCATCCATGTTGCTGCAAATGGTATTATTTCATTCTTTTAATGGCTGAGTAATATTCTATTGTTTATATGGACCACATCTTTACCCATTCCTCTGTCAGTGGACATTTAGGTTGCTTATGTATCTTGGCTGTTGTGAATGGCGCTGCAATGAATATAAGGGTGCATACATCCTTTCAGATCATGCTTTTCTCTGGGTATACGCCCAGGAGTAAAATTGTAGGATCATATGGTAGCTCTAGTTTTGGGTTTTTAAGGAACCGCCATACTGTTTTCAATAGTAGTTGTACCAATTTATATCCCCAACAGCAGTGCAGGACGGTTCTCTTCTCTCCACACCCTCTGGAAGGAGATATCTTAACCGTTGGTCCAACAGGGAAGTCCCAGGAGGTGGGTTTCTAAGGCAGACACTTGGTTACTAAGAGTTGAACAAGTTTCTGAGTTAGTACTAATATTTTTCCATTATTTAACCCTTAATAAAGGATTAGTGCTAGAGAAAGGAGAGGAAAAAGGAGATGCAGCTTAGGGAATTTACTGTCTCTAGTGACTATAGGACCTTGGAAGGAGCATAGCAGGTTCACAACTTAATATCTTTACCTAAATTTTGGTTTTCTCATCTGCGGAGTGAAGACAACCAGCTCCACCTTACAGTGTTATTACAAAAGTGAAATTAGAGAATGTGTATAAAATGTTCCATGCAATGACTGGCTTACTGTAAACAGCAATGAATGACACTTCATTTTTTAATGGTGTGCTCTTGTCCTGCCAAACAGGGTGTATAATCTTTTTGGAGGAAACGAAGACTCTGACTAGAAAGAACAAAAAACATTATATAGATTCATCACCTTGATAAGAGACAAATTTGTAGAGCATATTCCCTTATGGCTGAATTTTGGAACAGGCTTTTCCAATCCCTGGCCTCTTTCCCCTATTCCTGGCAACATGGTACTCTAAAAAGTTTCACTTGCTCATCAGATTACTCATTAATTATGGCCTATTTAACTGGAAAGAGTCAGTAAAATGGTATTGCATTTCAGCTTAATTTAGTAGCTTGCAGTAATATTTTGAGGACTGTCACTTACTGTTTCTGCAGGTAAGTAAGCTTTAAAGTGAAAGACAACAAAGTAGTTTTAATCACTCTGCTTTATTGAAACAGGTGCATCAGAATCCCCTAGAGAGTTTGTTGAAGCACAAGATGGCTGAGTCCCACTCCCAGAGATTCTGGGGACCACACTTTGAGAACATCTGGTTTAAGCCAAGGCTGATTTCTCTGCACTTTCAGCTGTGATAGTAGTGGGGCTGAAAGATCCCTATTTGGCTTACGATAAACTTTGTAGATTTTTTTTTAAGTTGCTCAAGCAGTAATTTATAGGTTCTTTATGTTTGGAACATTTTTTTTTCTGCTTCAAGAAAAGTTACTCAGAAGGAGTGTAGGAAATAATGGACCATTGACCATATTTTGGGGCACATATAAAAAAATTGATGTCTGTGTTCCACACTGGTTAAGAGCTTGGGCTTTGGAGTTGAGAAGACAAGGAATGAGACCAAGATCTACCACTTTCTGGCTCAGTGGCTCTCCACACTGTTTTCTCATCTGTGAAATGGGATAAAAAAATACCATATTCATCATAGAGAGTCAGGCTGGGCTCCGAGTGTTAAACAGCAACTTCCCACTTGCTATCTGGGTGGGATGGGAAAGTGGGGGAGGCTTAAGAGGAAGGGGATATAATATATAATAATAATATAATTATGACTGATATGCATTGTATGGTAAACACCAATACAACATTGTAAAGCAATTTTCTACCAATTAAAAAATAAGAATTAAAAAATAAAATACCTATGTTCCTCCCAGGTTTAAAGAAGGAAATGTACATAAACTGCTTAAATAAATGTCAGCAGTTTTTTCAAAGGGATGTAAAAACTCAGTATTGCTTAAGACTGTGAGAGCCAGTGTTTGCATTTGTTCATAGCACCCTTTGGAGAGCCTGAGCACAAGTGAATGCATTCTCTCTGAGGTCTAGGTCTGTTGGGTCTGTGAGTCTGGCTAGAGAGGGATTTCAAAGGAGTCTCTCACAAGTTATCATTCCATTTTTTTCTAGAAAATTCAGATTGAAGAGTTTTGTTCTCTATAATAAAAAAAACCCACAATAAACTCATTGGCTATTTGCTAATAGACTGTGTATGCTTTTAACTAAATGAGTAATTTGGGGTTTATCATTAGTTACTATTAATCCATGAGCAACTTTGCCTTGTTTAGAAAATTTTAGGATGGATGCAAGAGCTTGAGAACTTTAGGGATCATCTAGTTTAATCCTTTCAGTTGACAGATTAGAAAATTGTGAGCCTTTGAGGTCAAGTGGATAATTTGGCTGAGGACACAACCACAAATTTAATTTCTACTGGATGCTACCTAAATGCTCTCAGAAATAATGGCTTATGATGAACTATTCTAAAATCACAATTGTTTTAGTCTCCTGCAACATGCAATTTGTCTATATCTAACACACCCTACAAGAAGGTAAATTCATTTAATTTCCCAGGGTTACACTATGAAACAAATTTCACTCATCAGAAAGTTTCATGGAATAAAATAGCCATTTTATAAGTGCATTATTGAAACTGTTTCATAACGACAACATGCAATTGGTAGCACATGCTTTGAAGACTTTCAAGTCAAAATGATCATGGGGCTTCAACGTCTTATTTTTTTCCAGGTGTAAGTGTACACTGGACTGTTTTCTGAGGAATATCTTGACCCTTTCTCCAAGTGCTCATATTTGTACCATAAGTGTCACTTTTTCTACAGATTTTCAGTTGGTTAATTTTTGGTAAAAGCAATTTCAACTCATTTTTCATGTGATTGGTTAAAGTAAGGGATTTGTACTCCTATTCTCATAGGAGAGCTTAACTTCTAACCTTCAGCTGCCAATGTCTTATGAAAAGCTTGACAGTGAGAAATATATATGGAGTTTTGCCTGAAGGTTATGTAGTTCACTCATTACTTTATAAATACTGATAGTGCTGATGATGATGATAGAAATTGTTAAGAATATACTATACATATCTTCCCTGGTGGCTACACTGGTAAAGAATCCCCCTGCAATGCAGGAGACCCTGTTTCGATTCCTGGGTTAGGAAGATCCCTGGAGAAGGGAGTGGTTCTCCACTCCAGTATTCTGGCCAGTTGTCCCCCAAGTTCAGCATGCAACACATCACTTGAGGGCTTGTTAAAATACCAGTTGTTTCTAATTTGGTAGGGATCTGAGAATTTACATCTCTAATAAATTCCTAGGTGATGCTGATTCTGCTGGTTTGGGTGTTCAAGAACTACTGCTTGCCATAAATATAGGAGGTAGGTGTTTCAATCTGTATTTGATAGATGAAGAAACAGGAATTGAGGTTATATAATTTGTTTAACACATAGCTAATAATTGGCGAGTTGGGATTTGCAAATTTGCCTCTTTGACTTCAAAGTCTGTAATCTTAATTTCTGTGCTAGCTGGTTTTGCAATAAGACTTTCTTTCTGGGCAGAATAGTAGGATAGGACTTGATTTCTCCCAATATTGAGGTTCAAATATATTAAAAAGTGTGGAAGTTTTGAGATAGTTCTCATTAAAATCAGACTGTTGGGCAGAATCACATGACCCCTAGAGGAAATTTATCAGCAAGACAGAAATAACTAGATTGGTGAACATGTCCTTTATGTCACAGGCTATGGGACAAAGGGGAATCTTGGGTCCAGCTGAACAATGTGTCCAATCATGGAATTTGCCTTCACTAGTCTTCTTTACTGGGGCTGTTCCGACAGAATTGGATTCTGTGTATAATTTGAGAGTGATCTCATGCTTAGGGACTTACGCTCTGAGATAGCCTCTATTGAACGTAGAGAAATGGCATCTCATTATGTCACAGTACTCTGACTTCCATTTCCACCTGAGGAAGCAGTGATCAGGCATTAGGGACTGTAGATAGTATTGATGAAAGGGATGGGGTTGGTAAGAAGTACAAGTGTCTGGGTAAGACTCTTGTCACCATGTGACTGTACAGGCGAGGAAAACGGCTCTATTATGTAACCAGTGCAGTCCTTGAGTCATGAAGATCAGCTTTACTGCCTACCATGAAAGCGAAAGTCGCTTAGTCATGTCACTCTTTACAACCCCACGGACAATACAGTCCATGGGCTCTCCAGACCAGAATACTAGAGTGGGTAGCCATTCCTTTCTCCAAGGGATCTTCCCAACTCCGGGATCAAACCCAGGGCTCTGGCATTGCAGGCGGATTCTTTACCAGCTGAGCCACCAGGGAAGCCCAAGAATCCTGGAGCGGGTTGCCTATCCCTTCTCCAGCAGATCTTCCCGACCCAGGAAGCAAACCAGGGTCTCTTTACCAGCTGAGCTACCAGGTAAGCCCACCTAACCATGAAACGGAATTAATTAAAACAGCATTCCAAACCCACTTCTGTAGAAGGCTACCTCAGAGGCCATTAGTGATCTTCCAATTTTACCACCTTATGATCATCCCACTAAAGCTCAGATTTACTGCAGTGGGCACAGAAAACTTTCAAGACAAATGGGATAGGAGTATGAGATGGGGTGGAGGGTCAAACTGTCCTGGAACGAGGCTGAGAGGTGGCCCCTGAGTTCCCTCTCCACCAGCAGATAGAAGAGGATTGATTTATGGACATAAATATCCCCAGAGATTGCTAGAAATATGTAGAGAAGGGGAACCCTCCCCTTTCTGATAATCTGAAAAGTGAAATCTCAGAATCACTCTATTTCAGGGTGTAAAGTGAATCATTTATTATTTCACTTTCAGGTTGATGGAGACTGCCACACAGCTGTCCTGTATGTTCAATCCCTGAAACAGAGCAAGAGTTCCGGCCTCTGAAGTTAATTCTGCTTTGGTGCTTAATTTTGTCTTCAGTACCCCATTTATGAGTGCCATTCTCTGAACGGCCAGCATGATTCTATAGTGCTGACCAGAAACTTTGTTCAGGTTTTTCTGTAACAGCTTATAGAAAAACCAAAATGAAATTTTTGGCCAACCCAACATATGTGAATGGACAATGTGAAGTTTGGTTCATCCTTCTTTGGTTGCTGGAGTGAGTCAGATTTGCCACTTGTGAATAGCAATTGAGCAAGATTTTTTTTTTTTATCATACCTTATTGACAATGTTACCATTTTTCCTTTGTATATTTATATACCTTTCTTCTGTTATTTGGTGTACACTTTCCTACCCATATAACCATTTTGAAAGAAGAGGGAACATGTACAGAAATGGAAAAAAGGGAGGGTAGAAAATAGGTAGAGGAGAGGAGAAAGGAAGGAACATTAACCTATTTTACAGACGTTTACATAGAAAAGCTTAATGATGTATTAATAATCCAGTCCTAACATGAGGTGACATCCCAATTTAACATGAAATATAGATGAGATAGCTTTACCATCTGAGCCACCGGAGAAATGCAGACCTGGTTCAATCCCTGGGTCGGGAAGATCCCTGGAGAAGGGAATGGCTACCCACCCCGGTATTCTTCCCTGGAGAATTCCATGGACAGAGGAGCCTGGCAGGCTACAGTCCATGGGATTGCAGAGTTGGACATGACTGAGCGACTAACATAGATATAGCTAATAAACTGTTGTTTTGCAAAATATACAGCAGTGATGAGCAGTGTATAAAATGAACCAAACTGAATCAATGGGAAATAATGATTGATTTACTCTCAGAGAAAAGTAGATGTGCATTTTCTATGATACTGCTGTCCAAAGAGGGCAATGTTTCTTAGGACAAAACACGTAACAGCACCAAGTATGAGTTATTACCATATCATTTGTTGAAATTAGAATGCTGTTAGCAGCAACCTTCAGAAGGTTGCTCAAAGTCAGCTTTAGGTATGCTGAGTTAGGGGACCGAAGCCCATCCTTGAGCCCAGCTAGGTTACAGTTGAGTTACATTCATATACGTGAATAATTAATTCTGCCTGAGGGAATCCAGCGTATCTTCATGGCAGAGGGAGCCTTTAAATTACTCTTAATGTGAAGGTCTTCAGGTAAGGCTGAATAGAGGAAGCTATATACCAAAGGCAGAGGCATCGAAGCATTTGGTTGTTGGGACAGCCTTACAGCATGTTTCATGCCACTTCACTAGAACATGGCATTAGGCAGGAACATGTGCCCAGAGCCCTAGGGCATCAGGCTTTCAGAAGAGTTGTTTATAGTAGTAGGTTTTCTTCTTTCACCTCATAATTAGTCACTTCTTTGTTCTCTCACAAACCTGAAGATTCCCATAGAGCCTTCCTCCCTTATACCCCCTCTTAAGTTCTCTTACTACTCACTTTATATTGACTGAGTAGTTCTAAGTTATAATCAACAAGCTAGATGCTAATTTCAATGTATCTGGTTCATCCAAATTTGAAAATGGTTTGGTTTGCTATGGGGTTTGTCTGCCATAATCACTGGAGTTGTTACCTTTGGGACATCTCTCTTTTGGAAATACTGCTGAGAAAATTTTGTAATTCAGATACTTCTCTAAATAAATGTTACCATGAATGAATCACTTTTGTGTTCTTATTCTGCAGATGTTATTGAGGCGTAACTGATTATCATTTTCTTTATTGAGCTGAGCCCTCTGTCAGGTTCTCACAGGTGGAAGACAAGCCATCCAAAGCAAAAAGGTCAGCTGTAGGCCAAAGATGGGCTTTCAGTTAGAAGGGGAAGACTGGCATGCCTGACATGTCCAGGTCACCATTTTAGAATATTATGATTGCCATTTTGATATACTGCCATAAAAGCATAGTAGTTGAAATGTTCTATTAATCACCTGTTGGGAGTTTTACATGATTAGGTTAAATGTGTGGAAAAAATGAGACCTCCTTTAAGTAATTTTGTAGGAAAAGTCAGAGGTACAAGGCAGTGTCCATTTATTGTGACACCTTTCACAAAAGGTTTTATTTGGCAAATGGCAGTACTACTCCACTGAGGTAGATAATAGCAACTGCTCTAAAAAACTCAGGTGGAAATTCTACTGTTATTATCTACTAGGTCCTAGGCATTCGTTCATAATATGGCTAATTCTTTTAAGCCTACAAGGTGGATTTTTATTATCCTCATTTCCACTGATGAGCAGACTCACTCAGAGGTTGACTGACACAAAGCCAGGCAACTGAATGAAAAAGCCAATGTTCTGCTTCTTTCCAAAGTTTCTACTTGTCCCTATTATGTCCATGTTCTCTAAAAGCAACAATAGGCCTGCATCAAAGTTATCACAGGATTCTAGTCTGTTTAGGATTGTTCTCCTAACTCTGCAGCAAAAGCCAGAAAGGTTACGGTAGAGCTTCCAGGAGACTAAATAAAAGCAAGGGGAAAGCCAGTACTACAAACATTCCCTGCTGCTGCTGCTAAGTCGCTTCAGTCCTGTCTGACTCTGCGACCCCATAGACGGCAGCCCACCAGGCTCCTGTCCCTGGGATTCTCCAGGCAAGAACACTGGAGTGGGTTGCCATTTCCTTCTCCAATGCATAAAAGTGAAAAGTGAAAGTGAAGTCACTCAGTCATGTCCGACTCTTCGCGACCCCATGGACCGCAGCCTACCAGGCTCCTCCATCCATGGGATTTTCCAGGCAAGAGTACTGGAGTGGGGTGCCATTGCCTTCTCTGACAAACATTCCTTAAGTATCCCAAAACACATAAAAGAAGGCAGAAGAGTAAATGATGTCCTGTCAGAATAATTTAAGAGTGATCTTGGTTTTAATTTTGCAGGGTATTTTTATCTTCCTCTCACCGTTTACTTTTAAACTGAAGCTTCTAAAAACATTCAGTTGGAAGCCCTCCAAAAAGAAACAGTATTCTTTCTTATACTGCTGATAAAAGTATAACCTGGTAAGTTCTCTAAGGGCCAAAGTGTCAGTGCCAAAAGCTTTTATAAACTGGCATACTCTACAAGAGCATTTCCACCTTCAAGAATTCAAAGGAAATATTAAGAACACATAAAAGATTTAACAACACAATGTCCTTTAAAGCAGTTTATTAGTGAAAAATTGGAAACACCCTAAGAACAGCAGTTTAATAAAATGTGGCACAGGGGATGAAATACCATGCAGCCATTAAGAAAGGTAGAGAAACACATTTTGACACAGCAAGATAGTCATGGCACTGTCAAGTGAAAAAAAAGTTACAAAACAGTATGTACAACTTGATCCCATTTTTAAAAACCTACAAAAGCACAGAAGAATCTCTAAGTCTATACACCTAGGTAACAGTAGTGCTCCCTGGATGGTGGAATTGTAAGTGATTTTTATCTTTATATCCTTTTTTCCCAATGCACTTATGACTTGTATTTTTCAAAAAAGCACTTGCGATTCTTAGAAGGTCTCCTTTAAAATATGGAGAGCAGAGCTTAGCAGCCCGAGCACCAGGATGGTCATGTTAGTCTGATATGACTTTAATGACGTCAAACTGTGACTGTGCAGAGTGGAAATGTGGGCGGTGGTAACACTTACCCTTCTTCAGACAAACACATCCATCCCTAGAAACCCTTCACATCAATCAAGTACAGGCAATAAGTAGTATTGTCCTTTCTTATAGGAAGGATACCTTATACCTTCACACCCACTTGTAATGCAGCCCAGAGCAAGGCTCCTCTACACTTGAGATAAATGTTGTTGGTATACAAAAGGCAGGGAGAATTTTCAAGTGATGTCAGATAGCAGGCCTGAAGGTAAAAGGCACATTATCTTTATTCGGGTCTAAAACTTAGGAGGGTAACAATCACCTAAACGGCTTGTAAAGACAGAATGCTGGGTCCTACTCCCAGAGTTGGTTTCAGTGGAACTTGGATAAGGCTTAAGAGTTGCATTTTTTTCTTTCTTTGACAAATATTGAGTATATACTCTGTGCCAGGTCTCATGCTGAGAGTTTGGAATTTAACTGTGATCAAAAGAATTAACAGTCTCAATCTCAGGAGCCTACATTCCAGAGTAACAGATACATACATACTAAACAAATAATTTAAAGTAACTAATTACAATTAGTACTAGAACACAGTAAAGATCAGAATTCAGTTTTTGTCTTGAAATGTGTTCAAAAATGTTACATGGGAGAACTAAGACTAGTTTTATAGCCCCTTGAAGACAACGTACCAAAAAAGGTACTTGGACATACAAATTAACATTTTTAGCAAGTTCCTAGGTGATGCTGATATTGCCTGTCCTGGGGAGTCCCACACTGAGAACCATTTCCCTACTGAGCAGTTTCCCATTAGGATGTGGGAGAAAGGGCAGGTGTGCTGTGGACAAATACCACACCCC